CTTTAACTCTGCTGCTCGTCTAGTTGCTCGTGCCCCTTTCTTTTCTCATATATCTCCATATCTTGTTCTCTTGCACTGGCCACCTATAAAATATAGAATAATTTTTAAAATTTGCACGTTCATGTATAAATCTCAATCTAAATTATTTCCTAAGTATTTATCAGATATATTAATTGAACCTAAACGCCCCGGTTTACGATCGTCTTCTTCTTTTCGCTTTTTCTTAACTCGTGTTAAACACTCTTTTGCCAAATCTGCTTTTGCTTTTTCTGGTCCTTTTCTCTGGAATTATCTACCTACTTCTCTGACTACTTCTCCATCACTTGCGAAGTTCAGAGCGGATCTCAAGACCCATCTGTTTTCAAAATTCATTGAGGAGCGCTGTTGAACATCGCGGAAATAGCGCTTTATAAGCTAATTGATTGATTGATTGATATTAATGCCTGTTATTTTACAAAAGTTTTTGTTAATGAGTTTGATGAGCTTGTATTATGATTTATTTGATTACTATTTGATTTTTCGTTGCTAGCTTTTCTAACGTTCGGTTGTCTCTTAAATTTTCGAAAATTATTTTCTCGTTTCAATCCATTAATTTGGATTTTTATCATTATTATAGGAGTTAAATAATGTAATAATAAATGAACCTCTATATTTTTTGATAAAAAATCTTGAAATTCTGGATAACGAGGTGCTTATCGATAATGTTGCCAAGTTTTACTCGCTTGAAGAGTTTAAAACTGCCTTAAAACTTTTGAAAAACGAACTTGAGACCCACAAGGATGAACTGAAAGACACTGAATTTTACGCTGCATGGTAAAAAAAGAAGGGACATGTTGGCTGACTGTAAGACGGTCCTGAAGTGTTTGAACAATAATGATTTATTAGAAAAAGGTCCGGTTTTTGTGAGTCGCAATTTGAATAAAATACCTCGTTTGGAAAACATTATAAGAGTAAATTTCTCCAGCCTGCGCAATGAGGTTCGGGAGACAGCTCAAGTTCAACATGAGCTGGTTGCCAATAAACTTGAGGCTTGTAGCAAGTTGATGCTAACATGTCTTGAAAAAATCGATAATTTGGCCTCAAACTCCAAAGACGAAAAGGTAAACAAACTTCCACAGGTTAAAAACGCTATTAAATCTGGTACCAGCATTTTGCACAACTCAAACTGGGCTGACTCACCTAATACTCCAGTCAACAATTCAAATCCATTCATCTTAGTTGAAGCTAAGAAAAAACGTGCACTTCCTGATACTCCCCCTCTGACTAAACAAGCTACAAAAAACCTACTGTCAACAATATAATAGAAAAAAGAGCTCCTGAAAACTCTAAAATATCTGCCAATAAAATAATGATAAAAAAAAGTTTTATCACGTAGGAAACGTCACCAGATGTACAAACGACAACATTATTGAACATCTACGTTTAATTGGAGTTGATACAATTTCCTGCTTTCCTGCATTTAAAAAAGCTGATAACGTTGCTAAACAACAAAATAATGAACAGTCAACTTCATTTCGTCTGTGTGTGGATGCTAAATTCGCTGCCTTGATTGAAGATGTTGATTCCTGGCCCGAGCAAGTAAGAGTTCGTGAGTGGTCCTTCCATAGTCAGCCTCGTCAACCTGGTACAACCTCAACTGCTCAAGATGGATAGCAATTTTGACCCTGATAGAAATTTTTTTGATCACTTAGATAACTCCTGTAACTACTATAACGCATCGGACCTTAGTAAACATATTTCCTTTTGTTCAAATGGTTTTAGTTTTTTACATTTTAGCTCTAGTAGTTTTTTCCTTAACTTGATGATTTTGAATTGTTTTTAAATGAATTTAATATTGACTTTAACGTGATTGCAATAACTGAAACTTGGTTTACTGAAACTTGGTTAACTGAAATTACAGCCCCACTTATAGCCATTCAAGATTATAATTTTGTATTATCAAATCATAGACGTCTTAAATAAAGGACTGACGGCAGCCATGCTCGGGTGCGCGAACTTGGGTCCATCATTATTTTTATTATTTTTACTATAACTTTGTCAAAAAAAAATCCGTTTGTTACCAAATTTTAAACAGAAATTGCTACAAATAACATAAACAGGTTTTGTAATTTTTGTTACTGTATCTTATCAACTTACACTTTTGTTAAACCTTTTATTTTGATATCATAGGCGTCTTAAATAATTTAAGATGTCTATGGTTGATATTGACGTCTTGAATTTATTAAAAATACTATGGTATGATTTCATTTGCGTTTGAGCTGGTTTGTCATTACGGCGGACCACGATTTACTATTCGTATTATTCCGGTTGCAAAACTTGATGCAAACTCATTGAGGAGTACCTGTTAGAAGTTATTACAACAATCAAATACTGCGGTGGTCGACCTATATCAATAATCTGTGACAACTGCCCATTAAATCAGCGGATGTACAAGAACCTAGGTGGCCCAGGTATTGTTCAAGTGCCAGACGACACATTGCATATGTATCTGGTTTATGACTATATCCACATTTTTAAAAATATCAGAAACAACTGGATAACAGAGCCGCAACAGGAGCTTATTTTCCAATTGGGTGGAAAAGAGTACAAAGCCTGCTGGAAAGATATTATCCATCTTATAACATCGACAGCAAGACGCCGTTAAGAATGACAAAATTGACACACACCGCTGTATTTCCCAAGGTTCTGCAAAGACAGAGTGTTCCACTTTTATGTAAGGTGTTTGATGATAAGACTGTAGCAGCCTTTGAAGCAGTTAAAGACAATTTAGAATTTCAATGAGGCACAGTAGAATTTGTCAAGTTAATAACAAGTTGGTTCAAAATGATGAACGTTAAGTATAGATACAGTTACATTAAACTCAGAGACGACAAACGAGAACCCTGGAAGTTTAATTGCGAAAGTTTCAAAAAGTTGGAGTTCATTTGCAATGTTATTAGTACGTGTAAGTGGCAAGATTCTGGAAAACGATGTCATAAGCTTACCAAATTCGCTGCCGACGCCTTCGTGGTAAGTACAAAATTCAACATACCTGCTTCAACCGAACTTCTCAGTGATCATCATTTCAGGTACGTTTTTCCAGCTGTTTTTTCCCAAGATCCACTGGAAAAGTTCTTTGGGCAAGCTAGACAGCGTTTTTGAGGTAATTTTTACATAGATATCAGTGATGTCATAGCAGCCGCCAATGTACAACGACTCCATCAGTTATTGAAACTGGATATCATTCCTAAGGACGATGCACAACGTGCATGCATTAACTGTACAGCATCACCAGATGAACAAGACTTGGAGATGCTGCAGGATATAACAACAGAAGACATTGAAAATTTGATACAGTCTGACAATTGTCTGAAACACAAAATCATTTTTGTTGCGGGCCTCTTAACACGTAAGTATCAGCAACATTTAGGCAACAATGATGCTGATGACGCACAAGACTTTACTCTATCTAGTGACTTTACTCAGCAGCTGGACAGAGGAGGATTATCAATTCCAAAGTTGTCAACTGTCTACCTTGTTCATAGTGCTGTTCACATCATCAGCAAACTTAGTCCACCGAAGGCCTGTTGTCGTAAATATGTTTCAACTTTATTATCATATGTCGACGCACCGTTATCCAACAACACAATGGCCTGCCGTTCACTTGTAAACGTTCTACTCAAGGCTCATGTTATTCATCATAGTGACAGAGAGCAAGAACTTGGCTGTTTGAGACGCAGGGAAAAGTTGCAATGAGCAGCAATTAAGAGGTCTATGTATTCTAATAAAACTATCTAATAATTTTTTTTATAATTTTAATAAATTTTACATTTACATTTTTTTTCAATCAATCAGTTGAACTAAATTTTATTTAAAACTTTAAGGGAAAAGTTGCAATGAGCAGCAATTAAGAGGTCTATGTATTTTAATAAAACTATCTAATAATTTTCTTTATAATTTTAATAAATTTTACATTTACATTTTTTTTCAATCAATCAGTTGAAATAAATTTTATTTAACAAAAATGCATGTTGTTGCTAATGTTCAGTTAAAGAACAAGTCTAACGTCAAACTTCAAAAAGTAGACATTGATCTATCGACTGTAATCGAAATTTACGAATCACTTTTAACGTTGTTCGAATCACTCAGAGAAAGATTTGAGGATTATAAAAAAAGGAAAAGTCCTGTCTTTAGTTGATGACTACAAGGTATCGCCATTAAGAAAACGGAAGAGGCATTACGACGAATCAGTTGACAATGAAACAGAATTTCTTTATTTCCAAACGATCTAGACGACACCTTAAATACTGAACTGTTGCATTTAAAGTCTCATTTGGCTACCTTAGACCAAAATGCAGTTCCACACACTCCAATTGATTTGTGTAAATGGATAAGATTGAATGACTTGCAGTGTGTATATCCAAATGTAGACATTGCACTTCGGATGTACACTTGTACTCCTGCTGCAAACTGTTCGGCCAAGCGATCTTTTTCTTGTTTAAAGCGCGTTAAAAACTATTTGCGTTTGACAATTTCCGAAGAAAGGTTAAATTATCTTGCAATTCTATGCATCGAAAAAACAATTTTGCAAGATTTAGACATTAATTTCGTTATTGATGAATTTTCGCGTAGGAAGGCACGTCGTAAAGTTTTGAAATAACTTTTATAAACTGCAATGAAAGAAAATTTATTTTTTAAGATTGATAATAATACATTACATGAATATTATTAAAGAATGTACTTAATAAAAATGTTTTAAAAATATTGCGTTTATATGAATTTAATTTCTAAATTTATTATAAAATTTAAAATTGGGGCGGCAAACCACGAGTGCCTCTAGGCGGCAAAAGGGTTAATCCACCATTGCCAGGAAGTGCTCGCATACATGATATGTGGGACTATGAGTGATTCTGTGATCGTGAGCGTGTAGTTGTTTGAATAAGTTCTGATTGAATGATGTTAGAGTTGGATGATGGAGTGTTTAAATAAGTGCATCTGCGTCTTTAATAATTTCATTAGAATTATGTAAGCTTTAAGAGTGAATGCTATAACGACGAAAAGAAAAAAATGTTAAGAAAAAATTGGCTGACAAAGTGGATAAAAGTTGTGAAGAAAATGGCTTATGAAAATAATCAATGATATCTACTATTTTTCGATTTTCGTTTTATTTTTTTTCAAGCGTCTAAATTTTTGTTTTATATGTTCAGTACTTTAAATTTTTTAATTATTTTATATTACCACAGCCATGCTTCTCAAATATTCTCTATAAAACTAACTCTAAGGGTTTTTGTAAATAAACTTTTAATCATTACTTAATGCATTAATGTCGTAGATTTTTTATTTTGAATAAATAAATAAACCAATCACTCAATCACAATTCACTCATTCATTCGCCGCAATGGTGTACCTGGCATTGTTGCAGTGACCTGGTTCGAATGTAAAGAGTCCGCTTACCACATGCAAAAAAGGTGTGATGCGTTTTTTCACGTCCACGAGTAATTTACATACACTGTGTGTTTGTTGTAATAACCTCTGAGGAATATCTAAGAGAGAATAATAATAATAATTGTTAAAAGCAGCATCTTTTAGATTAAACAAACAACCAGGGTAGGATCTAACGCATAGCAGACGGCCAAGGAACCCCGTGTGAAAAGTTTTTCTTTTGAAAAATAATTTAAAGAAATTTTCTATTAAAATAGAATTTTAAAAAAATCAAAAAATCTGGGGTTTGCCTTTCTCATATGATGCACACCTCTCCTGAGACACACACTTTCGGCGCGCTTCAGGCTTCTTTGTTCTGTCTCACAAGTTTAAAATTTAGACATACGCTAACATAAGTCCCAATGACATTAAACTGCGTCCATGCTGTTTTGCGGTGCTTCTGAGCAATAGGATCACCACTTAAAATTCACCACATTGAAATTTATGTTTATATTTGTCTAAATTTTAACCTATTCATGAGGCATAACAAAAATAGAATGATGCTTGAGAAAGCGCTCGACAAACAATGTTTGTAAAGATTGTACCTCAAGAAAGGTGTGAACGATGGGAAATTTCAAATGCGAAACACTAAGCCCTAGAAAAGCCTTAAATAGACGCTTTTCACAAACCATCCATTTACAAACTCCGATGATAATAATGATTCTATTTGTAAATAAAAATAATTTTAACTTTTAATTTAAATAATAATTTGATTTTAACTATTTTTTAATGTGTTGCACTTAATATATTAATGTTTGTGACAATTCTATCCACAAAATATATCGAAAATGAAAAAATACCTAGCGTTAAAAATGGTTTTATGTTTGAGGATTTATAAACTATTATAGAGCATAGAGCACCTACATTTTTGGTTGTTTAAAATAATTCAAAATTACATACAAAGCTACACGATAAGTTTGGGGTCTTCAAATTTTTTTTCTGCTTAAAGCCCCCGCTATACTTGATCCGCCACTGTAAACAACTGCATTTATTTATCCGCAGGCAACCGTATGTTTGTCCATCGTTACAGAGTTTAAATAAATAACATACCCACTGCGAAACTATTTTATAAAATGAAAAAAAGTCTTCAAGATGTATGATTTTCAAACATCTTTTAAAAAATAATAAATTATTGAGACACTAAAAAAGAATAACTTTAAAATAGTTTTGTGGAGTCCTTTTTGAATGCTTTTAAAATAGAAATTTCATTCAATATATTTAAACATCAAACATAATAAAATTATAAAAACTTGAATAACAGTATTTCTAATTATTATTATTTGTATTAATAATATTATTGCCATTGAAAATTAGTGTTATAAATATTATTAATACTTTTCATTTCACACTCATTATCGTTAATATCAAAGTGTAATAAAGTGTACAATAAATATTTTTATTTGTACTTTGCTCTTTGAAGTTGTCATTTCGAATAAACTTTATCACCATTTAACAAACAATAAATTACAATATCTACAACAAATAACGCGTATTAGTTGAAAATTGTTGAATCAGTGTTTAACAAATCTTAATTTTTATTTTGTTTTGATTCCCTTCTTTTTTTGAAAATGTTTTATTTTATGTACAGTAACAAAATTTTCATTAATTCAAATAAATTTATTTTTTGTCGTCAACAGTTTTGGCCATGAGGATAACGATGACGAATTAACACCTTTGGGAAATGGTATATATTTCCAGTGGCGTATCTAGACAACTCTGACGATGGGGGCAACGTTTATTGCAGTGTGGCCAAAATAAGGCTGACAAACGACCTTCTTTTGCTAATCACATAAATTTTTGGTCGATTGCGTCTTTTCTGTTAAAACAGTAAATTTTACTGATTTGTAATAGAATTACTTCTTAAAGGCCCGCACAGCCGCCCATAGATCTGCCACTATATATTTCTGATTAACATTTTGGGGCTGTACCGGATGTGAATTTTTCGAATCCGACCTGAGTCGAGTTTAGCCGGATTTGAGCATCAATTTAAATTTTGTATTATAACTTGAGACTAAAGCTCGTTAGCTTGCCAACTTTAATTTCAAGTCTTGGATAAAAATTTTTATTATGTACATTTTATAAGTAGCAAAAAAAATTACGTTTCATACAAATTGAAACATCTTTTTACCGGTTTCCACAAAACTACAAAAACTATCATACAAACATATACACGGAAATAAACTTACATTAAAACATCTTACACAATAAAAATGTGTGATTATGCATGCACGCACCGCACGCATATACATGTTTGAAAAATA